GATCCTAGAGCGATTCGTAAAAAAAGATGAACTGCAGAACATATGGGGCTTCAAGAAGACTCTTTTTTTGCCAAGCTGCTCATACTTTGCTCGAGTACACTCTAACCTACACGTCCTTTATTGCGGGTCCTCCTTGTCCTAATGCCACCCTTTCTGGTGATCGGCAATCCATCCAAGCTACTCAAGATCAAACTCCTCAGTCCTGTAAGAAGGCTGTTGTTGGTCCTTTTGGAAAGAATAAATCGGTGAGGAATTTCCTCAACTTTCTGTCTTCCTCAAGTGCACCTGAATTCCTCCTACCCCAATTCAAGCTTCCTCTGATCCTAAAGGACCTACTCGGGAAAAACCTACCGAGTTAGAGCAGATTGTGAATCCCAAGGAGCCAGTTGATCAAATGGCTAGGGCTTTAGCCGAACATGAACTTGGGGCTTCTATCATTCAGCCCAGACTCCCTTCTACTCTTTTGGAACCTATCCCTCCTTATTCCGAACCAACGGAAGAAGTTACATTAGTTTCGTCTGAGAAGCATGCCCCCTCCCCCAAAATGCAAAGTGTCAAAATCTGATACTCTTCTGCCCCCAGAACTTGCGATTCCCCTATTTGACCCAGTCTTGAAGGCGAAGGTGAGGGAGATTAATGTTCATGATTATGTTGTTGAAGACTTTAACGTGGTAGTGGGTTTTTCCAGAGGAGTGATTCTTCCTCGTGATTTGACTGTAAACGAGGTGATGTTTGATGATGAAATCACTCAATAAGCTATCCAGTAGATGATTTAGGTATTTTCTTCTTTTTTCCCTCTATTTCCCTTTGGAAGATGGTTTTTTTATGCTTTTCATTCACTTTTTTCTTTGCGATTTATAGGGACATCAAAAGATTTATGAAGTCGGGGTGAGGATTGCCAAAAAGGACAAGGCGATGACATAGAAGTGTTATGATCGTATGGATGCGTTGGCCAAGAGGGAGATCACTGATGCAGAGTACGCCAAGTTTTGTTAAGAGATGTTAATTCTTCAGGCTCAAACATCAAATTTGATTAAAGAAAACAAAAGGCTTGCTGCTGAGGTGGAGGATTTCAAAGCTTTAGAGTCTGCAATCAACACCAAGCTCTCCTAAACCCAGTTGAGCACTCTAAACTTTTAGAGGAATTTGAATCTTTCAAAACCAAGTCCAAAAGATTTGGAGGATTCCGCCTTTGATCAGGTTATGGAGAAGGCGGAGAATGATTTGGCTATGCAAATTTCTTCTCTAGAGAAGGCATACTTCTCAAAGGGGTGGGTTGCTACCTTAAAAGCTGCGGATGTGACTCCATCCTCTGAGCTATTCACTTGTCATTATGCTACGAGCTCCTCCGAACCACCTCCTTCCTATAAAATAATTGCTTCGCCTGTGTTTCCCTCCTTTTTTTTTATATATAAATGTAACCCTCTTCCCTTTTTGATGTATATATGGAAGATCATTTTTACAAGTTTCTTTGGAATTTTCTTTTTTCTTTGTTTTACTTTGGTGGTTTAGACCTTAGCACCTACATAGGGATCTTTCAACACTTAGAAAAAATTTATGCTCTAAGAAGTTATGGCCCTGTGCTCGGCCTCTCTTCAGAGAGTTTGGTTTTTAGCACATAGCTAGGGACCTTTCCACATGTAGAAAATTTTTTAGCTCTAAGAAGTTATGGTTCTTTGCTTGAACTTTTTTTCAAAGAGTTCTCGGTCCTTAGCATCTAGTTAGAGACCTTTCAACACTTAGAAAAAAAATTATACTCAAAGAAATTGTGGCCAGTTGTTTGGCCTCTCTTCAAAGAGTTCGGTCCTTAGCACCTAACTAGGGACCTTTCAACACATAGAAAACATTTTACGCTCTAAGAAGTTATGGCTCTTTGCTTGGCCTATCTTCAAAGAGTTCGGTCCTTAGCACCTAGTTAGGGACCTTTCAACACTTCAAAAAAATTTTACGCTCTAAGAACTTATAGCCTTTTGCTCGGCCTCACTTCAAAGAGTTTAGTCCTTAGCAGCTAGTTAGGGATCTTTCAACACTTAGAAAAAATTTATGCTCTAAGAAGTTATGGCCCTGTGCTCGGCCTCTCTTCAGAGGGTTTGGTTTTTAGCACATAGCTAGGGACCTTTCCACATGTAGAAAATTTTTTAGCTCTAAGAAGTTATGGTTCTTTGCTTGAACTTTTTTTCAAAGAGTTCTCGGTCCTTAGCATCTAGTTAGAGACCTTTCAACACTAAGAAAAAAAATTATACTCAAAGAAGTTGTGGCTAGTTGTTTGGCCTCTCTTCAAAGAGTTCGGTCCTTAGCACCTAACTAGGGACCTTTCAACACATAGAAAACATTTTACGCTCTAAGAAGTTATGGCTCTTTGCTTGGCCTATCTTCAAAGAGTTCGGTCCTTAGCACCTAGTTAGGGACCTTTCAACACTTCAAAAAAATTTTACGCTCTAAGAAGTTATAGCCTTTTGCTCGGCCTCACTTCAAAGAGTTTAGTCCTTAGCACCTAGTTAGGGACCTTTCAACACTTAGAAAAAAATTCATACGCTCCAAGAAGTTATAGCCCTTTGCTAAGCCTCTCTTCAAAGAGTTTGGTCCTTAGCACCTTGCTAGGTACCTTTCTACACTTAGAAAATTTTTTAAACTCTATGAAGTTATGGCCCTTTGCTCGATTTCTCTTCAAATAGTTCGGTCCTTAGCACCTAGCTAGAGATCTTTCAACACTTAGAAAAATTTTTAGTTCTAAGAAGTTATGGCTCTTTGCTCAACTTTTCTTCAAAGAGTTCGGTCCTTAGCACCTAGCTAGGGACCTTTCAATACTTGTAAATCTCTCTAAGAAGACTTGGCCCTCATGGGCCTTTTTTCAAAGTGCTTGTTTGCATATATGCACCGACCTGTTGATCCAATTGGACTCAGATCACTACCTATTTGGTTTATATTGTCATGCCTAACCTTCGGCCTAGATCTGATTGGGTGGCTACGCTTGATTTAAGTTTCTATCTCTATCAGGATTTTTGCCTCCTTGCCGTGACAGTAGGATGGGTTCAATAAACTCAGAACTTGATAAATTCATAACAAATTTTTATTAAAAATGATTTCAAATTATAAGGCAAAATATTCTTAAAGGACGTAGTCCTCTTTCCTAAAGGTATGATCTTATAGGGGGCACTCTTATTTCTCGAAGGTACTTGAGATCGTTAACTGATATTGTTTTAATTCAAAATGATATATGTTATTTTACAAACTATGGTTGATGCGTTTTCATGATTTCTAAAACTTGTTTGGGTTTGAGATGATTTTTTTCTACTGGATTTGTTTGCTTATCTTACGATATAAATATTTTTCAAATTTTGGCATTGAGAAATATATAAACTCTAAGTGAATAGGTGGATTGGGATTTTTTAGACGGATCATGACGTGGATCCGAAAGTGTATTCTTAAAGATGTTCTCTTTAGTTTATAAATTTTGCACTATGATGATGAAACAATATCTGTAGTTTTTGTTAGTTAGTTGGTTGGAGTTTTATTACTTTAATTTTGGATGTAACCTTAAGAAGTTATTATATTGGATTTGTGATTTATTTTGTTATCTATTATATTAATGACTCAGGTAGTGTGCTCTCATGATTTAATGATTGTTAAATAGTTAATGCCTGGATATAAATTTGAGTGTTATAAAAATCGCTATCATGAGGTTTCTCTTGAATGTGATTATAAAAGCTCCTAACCCCATATGGGTTACATGGACCCACACATATCCATTGAAAAGGAGATGCTTCTAGACCGTGAAAATCCCTCAAAACTCTTCTTGAGTTTGGAGGAAAATCCTTAGGCTCAGAGCTGAATTTCTTCGTTTAATTAATTACAAGATTGGCAATGGTCGCTCCATTTTCATTTGGTTTGATCCTTGGCATCCTCTGGGGTCTATTAATTTCTGTGGGCGCAAAGACTCTGGTTTTGCTCTAGATGCTAGAGTGAGTAGTATTATCTACAATGATGATCGGTGTTGTCATGTTTCTCCTAGTAGTGTTGTTTTGCAACTCCAAACAAGTACTCCTTCAAGCTTCAAGCCTATCTCAAATTTGAAAGACTAAGTTTTATGGTTACCAAAAAGTTTTTTCCTTTATGCATGTGGTCAAATGCATGAGCTTTTAATAGTAGTTTTTAGTTCTAAAACTGGCAAATGATTAAAATAAAGGGTTAATAGTAATTTTGGTCCTTAAATTATATATTTTTTGTCAATTTAGTTTTCATTGTATCAATTTTTTCAATTTAGTCCCTAAAGTATTCAATTTATATCATTTTGGTCATTACATAGACGGATCGTTAAGTTTTTGACACAATGCTTAGGTGTTGGACATGTGATACCGCATAACAATATGATACATAGTCACTTCCGTAAAAAAACTTAACAAATTATCTGATTAAGGACCAAAGTGACACAGATTGAATACTTTATGAATCAAATTGATAAAATTAATATAACGAGGACTAAACTGACAAAAAATATATACTTTAAGGATTAAAAGTGTTATTAATCCTACAATCAATATCATATTAGATAGAAACAATTTATGATGACTCTAGTAAATGTTACTCAAAATTTGTCATTGGAAAAAGAGTAGGCAATAAGCAGGAACACACCCAACTGGGGAGTGTTCATCCCCTCAAGGAGTAGCTAACGCCTTCCTCAAAAGATCAATCCTTCGAAACCACATTTGATGGCTTAAATTGGACCAAGAACAGCCAGATACATTTATTAAATAGAATTTAAATATATTTTTATTCTAATAGTTATTTATGCCACAGCCAGGCCAGCTGTTGTACAGCCACACTCTTCAGCAACATGATTTCCACTACCATATCCCCCTCCCCCACGACCAAAAAAAACAAAAAAAAAAACCCACTTGATCCCTATATAAATGGTCAGTAAAGAGCTCTCATTTTTCGAAAATCATAACTTCCCCCTACACCCAATCCCCCCCAAACCCATTGACCAGTCAAAGGAAAAAATGGCTAGTTATTCAAGAGTTTCAACTGTGTTGCTAATTGTAGTTCTTGTGGGTAGTTTACTCATGGTTGTCACGGCTGGTGACTTCTACGAAGATTTTGACACCCCTTGGGGCGATGATCGTGCTCAGATACTCAACAATGGGGAGCTTCTTTCTCTCTCCCTCGACCAGTTCTCCGGCTCGGGCACACAATCCCGAAATAAGTATCTGTTTGCAAAGATAGATATGCATCTCAAACTTGTCTCCGGAAACTCTGCCGGCACCGTCACCGCTTTTTATGTAAGTTACACAAGCATTCCTTTCTTTGTGTTCTATACATGTAAGGGTGATAATCAAATTATGTCGTAATTTTTTTTCAGATTCTACTAATTAGTGCTAACCATCTCATTTAATTAATTGTCTTTCCTAGCACTCATTAACATTTTATTAGTCCGTGTCGATTTCTTATTGACCCAAAAATCCATGAACGAAAATTCCAAGAGTAGGATTCCTTTTTTTGCTCGACTAAATTTGCAACCTATAACCCTCTTCTAAACCAACAATCTCTTTGATTTATATGGTATAAAATATTAAAGAAAGTGATTCCATATTGTTACAAGAATTCATAACATATAAGAAATAAAAATTCAATTTAGTTATTTATGTTTGGCAATAATTCAACCCACTTATTATTTGTGTGACGCGTCATATTATCTTTGAGTGCATTTCANTCGTTCTCTTAAGACGATTCATACAGAAAAAACTTATATAGTACGGAGATATTATACTTCATTTGTTCCTAAATATCTGTCGTTTTATATAAATTTTTTTGTTTCATAATATCTGTCGTTTTATGAAACCAAAGCATAATTAATATTTTTTCTTCCATATTTATCCTTAACTTTTCAATGCATTAAATTAGGTAGAGGCTAAGTGTCTTTCATATTCTTTTCATTTCCAATACGTATTGAATAAGGGTATTTTAGTCTTGTGCAATTATTTTTTCTCATATTATAGCTATTTAATAACTTCCTTAATTTCTGTGTAAAATCTTAAATAACAGATATTTAGGAACGGAGGGAGTAGCTAATATGTTATTCCATTTAGAGATTTTAGATATGCGCATCTCCTTTGCTTATTCCACTTCTCTACACGTGAGAGTCCAAAGGTCTCACTTTACCTCAAAGGCTGGATAATAATAATAATAATATATATATATTAGTCATAACTCATGTCTAAAGGCACGATAAAATATAAAATTTGAGTTTCCAAAAAATCGATCAGATTATATTAATTTTTTTCAAAATATATTAATTACATATTAATCAAATATTAAATGATTAAATATATGATAGAAATGAGTGATATAATATTTTTATGGAAGAAATATATAAATGATTAAACATATGATAGAAATAAGTTATACGATTTGACGTTTGAGTTTGACAAATGGATGATGGATGAAGTAAGTGATTGATGATGGTTTTGAGGGAAAAAATATGATTGAGATAAAATTCAAACACACTCTTATTTTATTATATATATTTATACTCAAGTGCTTTTAAATATTTAATCGATATGAGATTGAGTTTCTACATAAAAAAACATTCTTTTAATTAAAATACTCTAACAATTTTGATTATCAAATTTACTTTTTAAGTGTCTATGACATTACTTTTTTTTAAAAATTTAAAGGACTATAGTGACAAAATCAATATAATGAAGATAAAGTTGGCAAAATTGAAAAAACCAAAGTGCCCCTCAATAGTGGTTGTATGAGAAATATGTAACCAATTCTGGTAATTCATCTAAATCATTGTTTTTAGATCACACCAAAGTGGCACAAATTAAAATATTGATGAATTCAAATGATAAATTGAATGAATAAGAATTTAAATAATACAAAGCATACAATTGAAGGACAATTACCATATCTAATCATTCTTTATTTTTTTTTCAGCTTTTCTGTGGATGGCACACCCATTAGAGAGTTCAAGAATGCCGAGTCAATTGGTGTTCCATACCCAAGTAACCAACCAATGAGGATATACACCACCCTATGGAACTCTGATGACTGGGCCACGCAGGGTGGTCGGGTCAAGACAGATTGGACCCAGGCTCCATTCAATGCTTCATTCACGAATTACACCCTTAATGCCTGTGTTTGGTCTTCGGGTTCATCATCTTGTAGTTCAATTTCTTCATCTTCAACCTCAAGCAATGGTGCTTGGCTCTCAGAAGAGTTGGATACCACAAGCCAAGGGAGGTTGAAGTGGGTGCAGGAGAATTGGATGATCTATGATTATTGCAAAGACCCAGAGAGGTTTATTCATGGGGAACCTGCAGAATGCAGCCTATCTTAAAGAAGTGAAATTGTTCTTGCTCCTTACGCCTTCTGTTTATCATATACTTTTTGTATGTAATTTCAACAATTTGATTATTTTATTTTTTATTAAGCATAAATCAACATGATATGCCTTCGAATGGTTCGTAAATGAAAGTGGGTGCCCCTAGAAGTTATGAAAGTAGCATTTATTTTTGTATTTTTGTATCTTTGTCTAGGCTTGTTCGTTAATCACATGTACAGTAGTACCTATATGCGTTTATTAAGTGTGGCATTTATGAACTAAGATGCATCTAGATCGCATTTGTATAATAGTGTGTAAACATGTTTTTAATTTTTTTGACGACCGTTTTTTAAGAAAAAATTGCTAAAAAAGTAATCTGATAGGACATTAGTTTTTTTTTGACATGCAATGGCAAATACCTATAAGAAGTACAAATTACCACTAATACAATGAAGTCTCAAGGAATCAATATTACAGTGATGTGAGAGACAAACTCAAAAGAAGAGCATAATATAATTCTCTAAACAAGCAACCAGACATAGCNTTTTTTTTTCAGCTTTTCTGTGGATGGCACACCCATTAGAGAGTTCAAGAATGCCGAGTCAATTGGTGTTCCATACCCAAGTAACCAACCAATGAGGATATACACCACCCTATGGAACTCTGATGACTGGGCCACGCAGGGTGGTCGGGTCAAGACAGATTGGACCCAGGCTCCATTCAATGCTTCATTCACGAATTACACCCTTAATGCCTGTGTTTGGTCTTCGGGTTCATCATCTTGTAGTTCAATTTCTTCATCTTCAACCTCAAGCAATGGTGCTTGGCTCTCAGAAGAGTTGGATACCACAAGCCAAGGGAGGTTGAAGTGGGTGCAGGAGAATTGGATGATCTATGATTATTGCAAAGACCCAGAGAGGTTTATTCATGGGGAACCTGCAGAATGCAGCCTATCTTAAAGAAGTGAAATTGTTCTTGCTCCTTAAGCCTTCTGTTTATCATATACTTTTTGTATGTAAATTCAACAATTTGATTATTTTATTTTTTATTAAGCATAAATCAACATGATATGCCTTCGAATGGTTCGTAAATGAAAACGGGTGCCCCTAGAAGTTATGAAAGTAGCATTTATTTTTGTTTTTTGGTATCTTTGTCTAGGCTTGTTCGTTAATCACATGTACAGTAGTACCTATATGCGTTNATGATTATTGCAAAGACCCAGAGAGGTTTATTCATGGGGAACCTGCAGAATGCAGTCTGTCTTAAAGAAGTGAAATTGTTCTTGCTCCTTACGCCTTCTGTTTATCATATACTTTTTGTATGTAATTTCAACAATTTGATTATTTTATTTTTTATTAAGCATAAATCAACATGATATGCCTTCGAATGGTTCGTAAATGAAAGTGGGTGCCCCTAGAAGTTATGAAAGTAGCATTTATTTTTGTATTTTTGNGAAAGTGGGTGCCCCTAGAAGTTATGAAAGTAGCATTTATTTTTGTTTTTTGGTATCTTTGTCTAGGCTTGTTCGTTAATCACATGTACAGTAGTACCTATATGCGTTTATTAAGTGTGGCATTTATGAACTAAGATGCATCTAGATCGCATTTGTATAATAGTGTGTAAACATGTTTTTAATTTTTTTGACGATCGTTTTTTAAGAAAAAATTGCTAAAAAAGTAATCTGATAGGACATTAGTTTTTTTTTGACATGCAATGGCAAATACCTAAAAGAAGTACAAATTACCACTACTACAATGAAGTCTCAAGGAATCAATATTACAGTGATGTGAGAGACAAACTCAAAAGAAGAGCATAATATAATTCTCTAAACAAGCAACCAGACATAGCATAATACAGTTTGACGTAGAAAAGCTGACAACAGATTAATTACTTGGAACAGAATGATCCTGGTACCTTTAAAACACAATGAAAGGCTTGAAAATAATAGTTGACACAAAATGGGTCAAACTCGATAATCAGTGGAATCAATGGTGTTTGATTGAGGTCAAGCTAACGATAAAGACTCATCGTTTTGTCACGAGCTCTTTTAGTTTTGGGCCAAAATCTATCATTTAGGCTCTCAAGCTTGAAAGTAAAAAGTAACAGCTTTCGCACTTATTTGAGCTATTAAGGTATGAAATTTCGTTTTTCAACTATACAGAAAAGTTTATACTTTCTGCGAGATCTGATTTCTGTGGGATGCTCTTTTGCACTACTCTTTCTTTTGTCCTATACCTGTAGCTACTTTTACCACGCTCTCTTTTATCATGCAGAAGACCCCCCTTATGTAATAGGGGTTAAGAGGGGTTTACACCATGGTAAAATTCGAGTGAAAAAACTATAGGACCTCGTTAATCAAAAGTATTATGCTTCCACATCCCCCTCTAATCAGATTCTGTACCCTACTACCTTTGAGTTACTTTCCTTAATCTCAGAAGTGATAGAACTCTCTTCCCTTCCGAAAGAGCAAATCGACTAGNAACGCTTCAGTTTTTTATTTGTCTTCATTTGTTATGAACTCTGCTAGCGTTAAGATATTATTCTATTCCACTTCTGTTAGTTGCTTTGCCTGTCATGTTGTCCTCTTCCAACAATTTTTACTTTTGGCTATATTCTTCCAAATCGGAGACCAGCTCCATTTGCAATGTATTTCTAATTTATCACAGGATAGTATTTGTAGAGTATAATTTCCTTCCAAAGACCCTTTTGTACCGTAGTTAGTCTCCAGTACTACTTGGCTGCAAGTGCTTGACTTCCCCTGAAACTATTTCTGATATGCAGACCTCCTACATCTCTTGATTGAATGACTTCTTCCCATTTCACCGGGGTTCCAAACATGGCCTTGAGTTCCCACACAGATTCATTTCCTGATCATCTTATTTCATTCTTCTAGCTTTTGGGAATCCCTATCCGGGAGGCTCTTTAGACTGGTGTGTTTTAGATGATTTTATTAGCTTGACCCATTCTATCAAGGACAACCATCCATCTATTGGCATATCTAATCTTAACAATAAGTGAATCTTTCTTTGAATATTATTCCACCTAGTCTTTTTTCTCAAACTCCTTAGTTTGGATGAGGATTCAAAGGTGCTGGAGCAGCTCCTTAAAGTGAAAAATGAGTTTGTCGAACCTTATAGTTTCCTTTGAGTTGTAGGATTAACCCTTGACTTGCTTTTTATTATTGATTTTTAGTGCTTTAAATAAAATGTTTATTAGCCTAAAGAACCTAGCCCCTACCCTAACACACTCGCCTCCTTCCTCTATGATTGTTATACACACAATTTTCACCTTTCATAGATATGGGAAAAATGGTTTTGGTTTGGGAAGTGACATTGAGACTGGGCACGTGATAAGTAATAAAGAAAGCAAAGGGAGCCTAGAAAACAAATATTAGAGTAATGAGAAGACCTATAGCACCTCTACTACTGCCTTTCCTACCAAAACCCGAAATTACATAAGGGAGCAACACTGATGGACACGAACTATTATTGGCAAAGGAAAAACGACGCTTGCATGGGATCTTGATGCCTTCTCTTGAAATAATAGAAGTTTCATTCGAGTTGTTATCATGCCCAATCAGAAAAGTAAAAAAGTTGTACAAAGAGCTAGTGGACCTGCTCACAGGAGTCAGGCATGCTCTTTAGCTAGCTTGAAAGAATATAGGACAAAGAGTCATTAGAAGAAAACAATTTAGCTGGTTCTCAATTCCATGAAGTATGCAATAAGTTTGAATTGACCCGGTTAGCTAGAAGGTTCCTTTCGCTACCGTCTTAAGGTTCATCATTGCTTTGATTTAACAAGATTTCACTTTAGTGAACCCGATACGAAGTTGGTGAAACCTGACCATAGCTATGTCACGTGAAGTGGAGAACCTATGCTTCCTCTTTTAGAAACCTTCTCTGATTATTCCTTGGAGCACAAGAGATGGGGTAAACGTCGTTGGCTGGATAGCTATATTAAAAAGTTTAAGGGGGATCGAGAGAAAAGGAAGAAGATATCGAGCCAGTGAGTGGCACTGGTTCAACGGTGCTATCAAAAACAGTATTCTATGTGTTATCAGAGCTACTCATCACTTCTCCTTGATTAAAAACCTTCTCTCCTTTTAGAATTATTTCTCCCACACACCTTTGCCCTCTTTCACCAAAGGAAGAGGAAATTAAAAAAAATCTTCCAAGCGGACAGAGACCTAAATTTTCATTAGATTCATATTGAAGCTTGCTTTGTTGCAACAAGATGATCAGACCAAGATTGCTGGAGAGAAGAGAAAGCGATAAAAACCTCTCAGATTCGGTCATCGAGTAGTCGACGATTCTTTTACTATATACCCCCCATCCTTTGAAGATGGAAGAAAGGGCACTATAATTATATACAATAGGCCCTAGAATGGTAAAAGGTGAGGGAATAAGAGTTGTCACGATAGAAAATAGAAATAAATGACTATAAGGAACCAACAGTTCTCTCTTCTTAAGCAACCTATATCCTCTACACTTAATTAGCATTTGATATATTATCCAACCCCAAGCAATCTTAGTTATTGGTGGGGGTTCGGTTCGTTAGTCGGCATTTGTTTAGTCATTCAGATAGTGATTGACATTTTTTTAGCTATGCATCACACACCTCATGTGGATCTAGCTTTCAACAGCGTAGACCACATCATGAAAGATGTTGAAAGAGCTTGGTTGTTCCATTATATGCTTGCTAATGGGACAAGTATGTTTCTCATTGTGGTTCACCTTCATCTTTTTCGTGATCTATATCATGTGAGTTATATTAGTCCTAGGNTCTATTGGCATATCTAATCTTAACAATAAGTGAATCTTTCTTTGAATATTATTCCACCTAGTCTTTTTTCTCAAACTCCTTAGTTTGGATGAGGATTCAAAGGTGCTGGAGCAGCTCCTTAAAGTGAAAAATGAGCTTGTCGAACCTTATAGTTTCCTTTGAGTTGTAGGATTAAACCTTGACTTGATTTTTATTATTGATTTTTAGTGCTTTAAATAAAATGTTTATTAGCCTAAAGAACCTAGTCCCTACCCTAACACACTCGCCTCCTTCCTCTATGATTGTTATCCACACAATTTTCACCTTTCATAGATCTAGGAAAAATGGTTTTGGTTTGGGAAGTGACATTGAGACTGGACACGTGATAAGTAATAAAGAAAGCAAAGGGAGCCTAGAAAACAAATATTAGAGTAATGAGAAGACCTCTAGCACCTCTACTATTGCCTTTCCTACCAAAACCCGAAATTACATAAGGGAGCAACACTGACAGACACGAACTATTATTGGCAAAGGAAAAACGACGCTTGCATGGGATCTTGATGCCTTCTCTTGAAATAATAGAAGTTTCATTCGAGTTGTTATCATGCCAAATCAGAAAAGTAAAAAAGTTGTACAAAGAGCTAGTGGACCTGCTCACAGGAGTCAGGCATGCTCTTTAGCTAGCTTGAAAGAATATAGGACAAAGAGTCACTAGAGGAAAACAATTTAGCTGGTTCTCAATTCCATGAAGTATGCAATAAGTTTGAATTGACCCGGTTAGCTAGAAGGTTCCTTTCGCTACCGTCTTAAGGTTCATCATTGCTTTGATTTAACAAGATTTCACTTTAGTGAACCCGATACGAAGTTGGTGAAACCTGACCATAGCTATGTCACGTGAAGTGGAGAACCTATGCTTCCTCTTTTAGAAACCTTCTCTGATTATTCCTTGGAGCACAAGAGATGGGGTAAACGTCGTTGGCTGGATAGCTATATTAAAAAGTTTAAGGGGGATCGAGAGAAAAGGAAGAAGATATCGAGCCAATGAGTGGCACTGGTTCAACGGTGCTATCAAAAACAGTCTTCTATGTGTTATCAGAGCTACTCATCACTTCTCCTTGATTAAAAACCTTCTCTCCTTTTAGAATTATTTCTCCCACACACCTTTGCCCTCTTTCACCAAAGGAAGAGGAAATTAAAA